TAACCTTCCCTCACCCGACTGAAGAAAGACTAAAATATTGACTGCTTCCTCTGTTCACCTCGAATAACCATATAATGATTGGAAGGGCCTTTGACATGGCTCAGAATGATAATCGTCATCAACAAAAATAACTCTTGAGCTGGATGGATTATAAATAGTAAATATGACTCAGAAAATATCCTAAATACTAACATGCTTTGCACTTACTAAATATTTTCCCCCATTTCCTCACTGTCTCTATTAATATTAGCTTTCGCCTTCATACCGTAATGCTCCCATCTGATTCGCTTCGACATCACCTCAGTTAAAGTGAATTTTTTTTTTAACACAGATGCATTTGGGATAATTTAGCACAGTCTATTTGTTTGTTGAAATAACCCTTTCCTGTTTATTCTGATTCTGCACATAAGTTGGCAAGAGCAGGGATTTAGGACAATGGTTAGATTGTTCTCTAAAGTTTTTTCCATTATTTTTCCTGAATCAGAACTTCTATTACTATTACTTTAGTCACTAAACTTTCCCTAAATATCAGCACATAGCCATATTTAAATATCTAAAATTTATACATTAAGAGCATAAAAAAAAGCCAGTGGGCAATGCCCAGGGCTACTCCCAGCCTGGGCTGCCCTGGCAGCGGTTAGGCATGTGCAGTGCCTAGGGTCAGATGAGGGCTCCTTGGGGCAAAGCACATGCTCCAGTCATTCGGGCAATCTCTATCACCCACTTCAAAAAGTTTTTTAATTAGGTTTTCAGTTTTTGTCTAAAGGGCACAGCAAATGAATTTTGGGGCGTGAGCTGTTTTGAATTTAATTCAGAGATGACAAAGTACTCCGTTATTTATCTGCTTGACACAAGTAGATCTTAAGTGACACGGTGTCCTCATTTGCTCCAAGAAAACTTTTCTTTTTTGTAGCGAGGGACTGTCCTGCCCATGTGTGATCCCGGATTATCTCTGAGACAACCAACAGCACCTCCAACCCTCCTGGCTTGGAATCAGGAGTCTTGAGCTATTGCTGAATGTTCCAGCTACACTGATTCGGAAACTAACTACACTTGATTGAGATCCGTAGCCCGAGTGTCTTGAAACAGTTCTACCTAATGTCAACGAGAAATGAACGATCTTCTCTTGTTTTAGGGAAGCAAATGGCATCAGCGAACCGTTTGTCTATGTCAGACCTGTGTTATTTCCCCATGTCTTGTCTCTTTGTTTCTGTTTTGGTGCTTTTTTTATTCTTCTACATTAATTTCCTCATTCTCTTATTCACTTATTCCGGTCATGTTTACTGGGCACTGACTATATATGCCATGCACAATTCTAGGTGCGGAGCATGTTGGTCACCAAGACAACTCCAGGCCTTTGTCTCCTGGAGCCTATGTTACCTTGAACACTCTCATGCAACACAAGAGTTCAGATGATATGTTTAAAAAGTATGAATGAGGAATTGGAGGAGAGATGATGCAGAAGACTACAGCAGGGAACCCCTCAAACTCTGACCCCCTCGCTAAAGCCAGGACTGAGCTGGAAAAACAAAACTGTGAAAAGTAATCTTTTTTGGATTCTAGAATCTAAAGAAAAAATCCAGTCACCGAGAAAATGGTTAAGAAAAAAAAATGTTGGGTTTTGGAAAAAGAGCAGATCTATCTATCTATCTATCTATCTATGCATTTTTTTTACTATGGATTTTTTTTTATCTATCTATGTATTCTTTTCTGTGTTCATGAAGCTTCCTGGCCTCTTTGTTCTCAGTTCCAATGCTCCCGGTTCCTTAAACCCCAACATCAGGGCACCTCATTAGCTAGAGGTGCTATATCTTGAGGTCTCTAAGAAGTTTCGAGTAGAAAGCTGGAGAGACCAGAAGCACCCATAGGCTTTTTACAAAGAAGGTGTCCTGGGCGGGGGGGCTTCTCCTTCTGAGCCCCACTCACCCCCTCTCCCCCCAGAGCAGGTGATATTTGGATTTGCCTTTAGCTATCATTCTCTCTCTCTCTCTCTCTCTCTCTCTCTCTGCTGGTGGCTATGAAGACAGTCACCTGTGTTCCTCCTGTGATTCCTGGTAATGTCAGCCTGACATGAGAAGCAGCTGTGGGCTGAGAACAGACTGTGCCCACAGGAGGCCTGGGTTTGAAACCAGCACACAGAGCCCCCCCAAGCACCACCAGGAGTGACCCTTAGCTCAGAGCCTGGAGTACACCCACCAATACTACCAGGTGTGGTCGACCAAACAAAGATAAATAAAAGTGATTGTTGTCTGTCTTCACCTGTTCAGTTCCTAGCTTCTTTTTTTTTTTCTTTCTTTCTTTTTTTTTCTTGGTTTTTGGGTCACACCCAAAAAATTTTTGGGGCAATGCACAAGGGTTACTCCTGGCTCACGCACTCAGGAATTACTCCTGGAAGTGCTTGGGGGACCCTATGGGATGCTGAGAATCGAACCCAGGTCAGCCGTGTGCAAGGCAAACGCGCTCCAGTCCATTTCCTAGCTTCTTAAACGGAGGGCTGCAGCCCTATATGCGGCAATGTAGCTTAAAGTGGGGGTCATGAAAAACATTCTAAAATAAATTTATGCATTATCATCAAGTAAATGATTTGTGTAGCTGCATTATATACCTGGGGTCCTGTGAAAATGTCGAGAGCAAAGGGGTTGAAGGAGTAAAAGCTCACGAAGCCCTGCTCTAGATGTTACTGTGGAATTGCGCTGAAATGCACTGCCAGGCGGTATTATTGAAGTTTTTAATTAGAAATATTATTGCCACAGCTACAGGCAAGCAGCAGACAGGAAAGCCTGGGAAGAGGCCGGGGAAGGGGACTGCTGGGGGGACAGAGGTCCCAATGCGTGCAGAGGACCCTGGAAAGGACCCGAGGAGACCTGGGGCCTTTGCGGCTGCGGCTGCCTGAGCCGTGTGCACACTAGGGGCCTCAGTACAAACCCAGTTTCCAACAAGGACGTCTACAAAGAAACGGGTGAACCAGACATTCACAGAGACTGAGAAAGGGCCAATGTTGGACTTACAAGATAGAACTATCTGCCTACCTGGTGGGTCCGTCAGCTCGCCCACCTCCCCCGTCCTAGTCACATTGGCACCCATCACTGCTGCCCCTGCCACCAGCCACGTGCTCCTGGTGCAGACCCCACAGCCGTGGTGGCGGCCGGGAATGTTCTTCTCTCCCTTTTCGGTGTGGCTCACTCTGCAAGGCAAGCGTTTTAGCTGCTGCTCTCCCTCCCCGGCCCCCTGGGATATTCTGGTCTCGCATCATCATCTTCCTCCTCAGAGGCAACTTTTCTCAGATTTGTGCCGGAAAGTCACGCCCTTCCCACCTCCCTCCTGCGGTCAGCTTCTGTTCCCTCACATTGCTCACGTCACCATTCCAGGAGTATTTTCAGTCACTATTGACTTATTTGAGGGAAGTCACCTTCACTAGCAAGTCAGCTCCCCGTCACAGCGACTCTGTGTCTTAACTGCGGCTCCCCACAGAGATAAGTCAATACACAAACACAAGTGTATTGCTGAACACTGGATACGGTTACTGTTTTTTCCTTTCCAATAATAGGTGTAAAAAGATTATTTTAGGTTGATATTTGTTAAGTTTGGGGTACTTGTTACAGTGGTCAGAACTGAAGAAGGAGGGGCCAAAGCGATAGTACAGTGGGTAGGGTGACTGCCTTGTATGATGGGCCCAGGTTAGATCTCCGGCATCCCGTATGGTCCCCTGAGCATCACCAAGGGTATATCCTGTGTTTAGAGCCAGGAGTAACCCCTGAGCATTGCCAGATGTGGTCCCCAAAACAACCCACCTCCCTCAAAAAAATTTTAAAAAAATGGAAGAGGAAATTTTAGAGCAACAGCCATCACCAAGGCCTAGGAAAATGTGTGGAAACAGAGGGTGGGTGGGAGACGGGGGACATGGGTGTTCAAAGACTCCCCACGACAGGTGGCCCAGGAGAGATGCGCAAGAGGAGACCGCGTGTGGGTTTCCTACAGGACGGGCAAGAAGACTAAACCAGGACAGCTGCATTCTGGGAGCGCTTGTTCTGCATATTGTATGTTGTTCACTGTGCTTCCTGCAAGCTGTGGATGACAAACCTGGAGTTCAGTGAAGTCATGTAACTTACCCGATGGCCTGGGGTGAGCTGGCAGAACTGGATCTGACCTAGACCTGCTGGATTACCATGTTCTTGACTCTGATGGAGCAAAAACCTCCTTCGGGATGCAACTTAATGTTACCCATAACAAGGACTGGGATCAATGGCTTTTTCCAAGAGGTCTCTTTCTGGAAGTGACTAATAGTCTCAAAGAAATATTAATATCCAAATGGTATCATTATACGTGTGATCTCACTTTATAGATTGAAAATAAATTATTTCAGTAGTATCAGTGCTATATTTAGTCATAATCAGTGAGGTACCTTGTGGGCATAACTGGGGGGCAGCTTTAAACTTCATAACTGCTATTTTTGTGTGAGAACAAAACTGTGCAGCGTGGCGATCCACTCAACTGACTGGCGCATTGTCCAGAAAAGACCAAAGACTGGGGAAACAGTCAGGGTCCTTCGAGAAACTGTAGTGCCTTGGGTGTAGGCAGCGTATCTTTCCCATAAATATGACTATCAATTTCAAGAAAAAACAGATAGGGTGTGATTTAGAATAAGCCTATCACGCGTGAAAACGTTAATCACAGAAGCTATCTGCCAGAGGGTATCTCATGCAGAGATCACCAATTATTACCATTTATTTATTATTGTTTTGGGGGTCACACCTGGCAGTGCTCAGGGCTTGCTCCTGGATTTGTGCTCAGGGGTAACTCCTGGCAGTACTTGGGGAACCATATAGGGTGGTAGGGATTGAACGCAGGACAGCCAAGTGCAAGGCAAGAGCCCTACCTGATGTTCTATCTCTCCAGTCCCAAATAATTATCCATTTAAAAAGTAAGAGAACATCATATTCCTGTTATAAAGTTGTAGTTTTCCTACCTCCCACTAGAGGAAGCAATAGGATTACTCTTACCATTCGGTGGATAAAAGACAGCATAATCTTCTAGTCCGAGTTTTCCTGTAAAAAACCAGAAGGTTTTGTATAATTAAACTAATCATTCTTTTCAATAGTAAGAAATAAAAACCTTGAGAATATATTAATGATTAACATAATTTTAATGAATACATTTAATCTTATTTTATTTCATATGTAATTAATTTTGAAATATGCCAATCTTTTGCTATTAGCAAACCCTTTTACCAACTAAATCAATATAATGAACTTTATATACAGATGATACAAAAATAATGGAAAGAAATGTTTTCAAGTTCCTTAGTACCTGAGATTCATTTTTTTATAAGCATAGAATTGTTTTGCTAATTATAAAAATTCTAATATATTCATTAAATGTGTACGCTTTTAAAATGCTGAGAAGTTAAAAATTAAATGTCTTTAACTGTGATGATTATAGTTCCTGAATCCCCAAACAAGTCAACTGGTCCAGGAATAAGACTAAATGTTTGAAATCTGAATTTTCTGAGAAAATCGAGGCATGTATTTCACAATTGTGTACAAGCATTTTAGGAAATGCAGTTCTTCAAAGCTGCCAGGTTCTGAGTTCTTCCCTCTTTGAACTTCCCTCTCTGGGTCACTTTTATCTTGACACTTTTTCTAACACCTTCGAATTGACAGAAAACTCATAAGCATTCCTAAAGTAAGATTTTTCTAATTAAGAGATTTTTTATTTTTAAATTTTGTTCCTGTAGAGACAGTAACAGAGCTGGAGCGATAGCACAGCAGGTAGGGGGTCTGCCTTGCATGCGACCGATCTGGGTTCAATTTCTCTGTCCCTCTCGGAGAGCCCAGCAAGCTACCAAGACTATCTCGCTCGCATGACAGAGTCTGGCAAGCTACCCGTGACGTAACTGATATGCCAAAAACAGTAATAAGTTTCACAACTTGTTGTGAGACGTTACTGGTGCCTGCTCAAGCAACTCGATGAACAACAGGAGGCCAGTGCTACAGTGCAGATCCTATAGAGACAGTAACATAGAGGAGACAAGAAAAGGCTGCTTGGACCACAACACCCAAAAGGAGAGAGAGAACACAAGGGATTGCCCTGCCACAGAGTCAGGGTGGGATGGGGGGGATGGGGGTGGGAGGGATATTATCCATGGAGGTGGAAAATGGGCACTGGTGGAGGGATGAGTATTTGATCATTGTATAATCGAAACCCAAGCACGAAAAATTGTAAATCTACAACTGTACCTCATCGTGTTTCACTAATAATAAAAAAAAAAAAAGGGAAAAAAAAAGAAAAAGAAAGGGCTGCTTGAGTGGTTTAGGGTAAGATGACACAACACGGACTCGTCTTGTGTGTAAGGAAGGACAAAATAATTTAAAATTCCATAATCAAGAACAAAGAGAAAAGAAGAAAGAAAAAGAGAAAGAAAAAAAGAAAGGAGGGAGAGGAGGGGAGGGAGGAGAAAGACAAGAAAGATATAGAATAGCTGTTAGAGAGTTACTAGAGGTCCGATGCCAAGAGGCAAACATATTATTGTCAGTCAATCAGGCAGATAAAACTCAGACTCAAAGAGGAAAAATTCAGCTATTTTCTAAATTCTGGGGCTTGGGCTTTACTTATTTTAGAGGGTTAGAAGAAAGGGAAACTGATGATGGATTTGAGGATCTGGTGAAACTTAGGAATCTTGTGCAAAGAACTGATTTTGAGGGAATCCTCTCATATGTGGGGATGGATGGAAGGATGAAATATGGGAGATGGAGACGTGGAATTATCAGGGAGCCAAAACGAGTTTCATTGAGTCAGGATCAACTGACAGAAGGCGGTCACATTTTTTCTGGGTGAGCGAGTCGGAAATCAAGGCACGTAAATCAACTCTCTGCGGGTGATGTTAAATAAGCAGACAAAAGGTTTCCATGAGTTCAGCTGTGGATGAGCGAAACTGAAAGAGCCTTTAAGTTGGGGGTGAGAGTGGGTGCCACCTGACCCCAGCACATGGGAATGTGAGCTTTTCCTAGGGCAGGGACGGAAGCAACCAGGTTGAATTTGGAGATACAGGGGGAAATTCGCTTATCTTGGGGGAACAGCAGGCCCGCCAGGCACTGTCCTGGGTGTTCGTCTCTCAACACAAAGGAGAAGTTAGGCAAGGTCCTTGTGGGAACAGTGGTCACGGAATAGTAGGATATTGGAACAGGGGTATCATGTAAGCAGCAGGGGAAACAGAAGGAAACGCTAAAATAGAAATTATAGAGAGGGGGCCAGAGTTATAGCACAGTGGGTAGGGTGTTTGTCTTGCACAGAGTTTGCCCGGGTTCGATCCCCGGCATCATATATGGTTCCCAGAGCACTGCCAGAAGTAATTCCTGAGTGCAGAGCCAGCAGTAACCCCTGGGAGTTGCTGGGTGTGACCCAAAGGGCCAAAAAAAAAAAATAGAGAATATATAATCTACATCAAACATTTAAGTGTCGTGAAATATGTTGAGAAAGAATATAAAAGGTTAAAAACTTTTTTAAGTACAACATCAACAAAAAAGCGAATGTGATAAGGACCCAGTGAAGCGCTTTCTGGGAGGTTGCGCTGGGGGGCTCAGGCACGGGTGCAGTGAAAGTGGACAGAGTCGCGCGAGAGGAATGTCACTGAGAAACTGCATCCGACGGCCCTCACACAGGCTACAGGACCAGCAGAGTTGGGAACAGTCATGCAAGCGGCAAAGGACACTCGAAATTTACCTCTTATGTATGATTTCGGTGGTGAAGCGCTGTTGTACGCAAAGTGAGCCAACACGGACGTATCCCGGGAAAAACAAAGTAGTACCTGCGTGGGACATCGGGAGAAAAGAAAAACAATCAGCTCTGCTTTCTAGCATCCTGCAACCGCGACGCCGGGCTGGGGAAGGGGGGGGGGGGGGGTGGAGTGGGGGGGGGGGCGCGCCTGTGCGCGCAGGTGTGCGCGGGCCGTGAGGAGAGCGCCCTCTGTCGGTTCGGCTCCGTCGGCGCCGCCGGCGGCCGAAAGCGCCTGCAAAGGTTTCTCAGGGTTATTTCTCACCTGGACCTTGGACAACAGCAGAACCCGCAGGCTGCTAACTACCCGCTGACTCTCTTTCTCGTTTTGGAGTTGGAAAAGAGCAACGCCTGGGGCAAACGTAACAGAGGAGCCATGTATGGAGTAAGGGGTCAGCACGGGGGTGGACACAGAAATTCGGAAAATGGCCGAGACCGCGGGCCACCGGTGGACAGGTCAGCGTGGGAAGCAAAGCGTTTCCTCCTACTTAGGAGGAGCTGGAGCAGCAGGGGGGAGAGGCAGCCCGTAGAGGTTAAAAGCTGTTTTACTTTTTTGCTTTTTGGGTCACACCTGGCGGTGCACAGGGGTTCCTCCTGGTTCTGCACTCAGGAGTCACTCCTGGCGGTGCTCAGGGGACCATGTGGGATGCTGGGAATCGAACCCGGGTCGGCCGCATGCAAGGCAAACGCCCTACCCGCTGTGCTATCTCTCCTGCCCCCAAAGCTAGATGTTTTAAACCAGCGCGCAACTGGCCGCCCTGCCGATGAAAACGGGCAGGGGAGACGGCCAGCGGCAAGCAGAGCCACAGTAGTCACTGGGAGGCTGACACTGCTGTGGAAGGTGGAGGCGGGAGGGTCCCGGGGCGACGGGAACTGGTCCCCGGAAAATCTGGGTACCAGTTATTCAAAGGTCTGAGGTTCAAGAAGATGCCACTGACAAAGGAATGGGAAAATGCCTCGAAGAAGGGTAAACGGCCAGTCTCTAAAGAGGGGGATCCCGGTGAGGGCTGGACTAGAGGAGCCCCAGGAGCGACAGACAGGAACTGTACGGGTGGCCAGATGGTTTGCTCTGCGGCAATGAAAGGGTCATGCCTAACCTAGACGCCCCCCGCACCAGGGCAACTCTCTTTTTTTTTTTTTGTTTTCTTTTTGGATCACACCCGGTGATGCTCAGGGGTTACTCCTGGCTTTGCACTCAGAAATTACTCCTGGCGGTGTTCAGGGGACCATATGGGATGCTGGGAATCAAACCCAGTCAGCCGTGTGCAAGGCAAACGCCCTACCTGCTGTGCTATCGCTCCAGCCCCACAAGGGATCTTTTTTCTCTCTGCAGCCCAATGTTCCAGACCCTGGTGACTAGCAGCTGGGGTCAGGGGTGGGCACGAAGGACACGGACGCTTGGTCCATCTGGGACAGACACTTGGACCTGCGTGCTCCCCTTTATAACCCAGCCCCTGCTGACCAACAGACACGTTCTACCCAGCATCAGGAGAGATTTTTTTTTGTGGTGGAACCCTCAACCCCCTCTGGGTTGTTTTCCTCTTTGTTGTGTTTGGGGGCCACACCTGGCGGTGCTCAGGGCTTACTCCTGGCTCTGTACTCCCGATAGGATCCGGGACTGCATATGGTGTCAGGGACTGAACCCAGGTCGGCACAGGGAGTCCCGACTCCCACTTTCATCTCTTGGGGCCCTACTCAGCACTTCTTAATGGCTAGTGGAGACGGAGCTAGATGACTTAGTTCACTCGTTCGTGTCGCCTTTTCTTACAGGCATGTTCCAACCTATTTCTTATCTTACCTACTGGCTATACATTCCAAAATAACTCATATTATTCTCTCTCTTGTGAGACTATGTCTAGTATTTTAATATTAAGGAATGTAAACTTACATTATCTGGCAAATGTTAATTTCACAAATATTTATAAGTCAAGAAAATATGCTTTTGGGCTGGAGCAATAGGTAGGGCGTTTGCCTTGCACGCGGCCGACCTAGGTTCAATTCCTAGCATGCCATATGGTCCCCTGAGCACCGCCAGGGGTAATTCCTGAGTGCAGAGCCAGGAGTAACCCCTGTACATTGCCGGGTGTGACCCCCTCCAAAAAAAAAGAAAATATGCTTTTTCTGGCGTATGTTAAAGCAAAAATCAAATGTTAGATGCATAACTATGGATATAGTCAATATCACTGTACAGTTGTAAATGACTAACATGATAGTTTTAAACAATGTGATTATATTGAGATTTAGAGTTCAAGCTAATTTAGAGTCCTGCTGTTGTTCATCGATTTGCTCGAGAGGGCCCAGTAACATCTCCATTGTGAGACCTCTTGTTACTGTGTCTGGCATACTGAATACTCTCAGTAGCTTGCCAGGCTCTCTGAGAGGGGCGGAGGAATCAAACCTGGCTCGGCCAGGCTGACTGTGCGCAAGGCAAATGCCCTACTGCTGTGCTATTGCTCCAGCCTCTTTATTGAGATTATATTTATATTATATATATTATATTGAGATTATACTTTCTAAAAATAACTTAATCATAAAGCAAGTATATCACTTAGTGCAGATAATACAGTACATTTTATGTTGTTATTGGGAAGGGGTTGGGCCCAGTAGTGCTATGCAGCTACTCCTAGCTCTGTGCTCAGAAATGACCCCCGGTGTTGAGGGGATCATATGTGGTGCTGGAGATTTGAACTGGGTTCAGCTGCACTGAGTTCTTACCCGCTGAACTATCTCTCTGGCCCCTGTGTTATTTTATCACATTTGAAAAAACATGTCATTAAACATAGAATTTAATGTATTCTGGGCATCTATTGACATAAGCATTTCAGAATGAGATTTAATACACATGTATACTATTCATTTTAGGTACATCATAAAATTATTTGTATATATTGTATATCTGTATATATTGTAAAACTATCATCATCATTCTATTTTTTATTTTCAGATATCTAAATATGATGATCATTTTCTAAGAACTAAACCAAGTCGGTAACTACTAAAGGCTAAATTTACAAACTGTTGGCAAACTATTAAACAATAATCTCCTCTTAACAAATCCTCCTGTACTCCTGTGCTAAGCAGAATAATGGACACTCTAATCCATGGAACCTATAGAAATGCTTCCCTAGATGACAAATGGAGTGTTACGGATGTGACTGAACTGAAGATCTTTAGATGAGATTATCCTGAACTATGACACAAGATCCAATGTAACCAAAGGAATCCTCATAAATAACGGAGAAATGCAGCAGGATCCAAGCCAGCGAGATTTGAAGCTGTCCCGGGCAGACAGAAGCGGTGCCCAGCCCAGCTGGAGAAATCAAGGCCATGTATCTTTCTTCAGCACCTCCGGAAGCAACATAGCCCTAGCACCTTGACCTTAGCCTAGTAAAACCCATTTTAGTCTCCTGTGATTGGTTTTAAGTCACTAAATTTTGTGGTCACACGATGGAGGAGCCACTCTAAAAAATAAACAAGCAACTGGGGCCGGAAAGAGCTCAGTGGGTTGCGCTCCTGCTTTGTGTGGAGGAGGCCTGGGTTTGACATGTGGCATGGTCCCCTGAGCATCACTGAGAGTGACCCCTGGTGTGCCAAGTTAGGACTACCACTGGTTATGGCTTCTACATCAAAAATTAAAAATACAATAAATACATTTAATAAAAATACAATTGCTAACAGCTAATACAACAATGGGAAAAATGATATCACCTTCAAAATAACTTTCTGCCATTACCTATGAAAAACAATTTTTTTTTTGCTTTTTGGGTCATACCGGGCATTGCATAGGAGTTACTCCTGGATCATGCACTCAGGAATTACTCCTGGCAGTGCTCAGGGAACCATCTAGGATGCTGAGAATTAAACCCGAGTCGGCCACGTGCAAGGCAAACACCCTACCCGCTGTGCTATCACTCCTGCCCAAGAAAACAATTTCTAATGGCATGTTTGCACTCACTTTCCCTTAGCAGGTGGTGGGAAGATGGTAATGTCAGGAGAAGCTCTGCGATTAAATATATCCCCTGAGAGTCCCTGCTGCCCGGGAAGCCGAGACATCTGACACTCTGCTAACGGCACACGGGTGGCTGTAAGGTGAGAATGCCGGAGGTAGCATGTTAGACACCATGTGCCGTGTGCAGTTCTGCCACACACGCAGAGAGCCCTGGCTTTTATTTTAACACGTGTTAACTTCTGAGATGCCAATCTTGAATCTGCAGGCAGGGAGAGTTTGTTTGTGAATGTGTTAGAAAATGTGATTACATGAAGATGACTACTAATCAAATTAGAAAATGTAACTTGAGTACTTAGTGCGAACGAAACTTTCTCAGGCTGAGGTTGTACAGGGTAATGATTTCCTTTATCTACAGGAACCGTAGAAAACTGGATGTGTATGTCTGAACTGTGATTCAAACAGAAGAATAATACCTAGTGTCTACAGAGAGTTGAAGAGAATTTTTACCTAGCCTTCAGCTTTGGAATCTTTTAACAATAATGTCTCAGGAATGATTCTGAAATGCTCTGCCCTGGCTCGAATTTTCATAAATGCATAGGCAATCTTCCGGAGCTCCGGAAACAGACAGGCCTGCCTGGGGTATGAAGTTGTATTCCAAGTCTTTCCTCTTTCATCTGTGAAATGGGAATATAGCTGCTACATTAGGTAGTGTAAGAATTATAAGGTGCCTCGAGTATCCAGAGTGGAGTCTGTGACCTAACACTCCATCAATAAATGCTAAAAATAGTGTTGGTAATCTCACTTGTAATGACAGAATATAGTGAGAGAGAAAAACTTTTTTCCAGTGCTGTTTCTAGCTTGTGCATTAAAAAAAAAATAAACAACTCTTTTCCTGTCTATTTTTGTTTGTTTAGTTTTTTGGTTTTTGCTTTGGGTTCCCATCTGGAGATGCTCAAGGCTTACTCCTTTTGTGCTGGGGGACCATATGTGGTACTAGGGATCAAACCAGGGTCAGTGGCATGCAAGGTTAACACCCTATCTGATGAACTATCTTTCCAGCCTCTTATTACATTTTTATGGACGAA